GGTCAACGGTACTGACCAGGTGGAAACATCCTAGCATATCTAGCATATTATTTGGGGCTTTCCAGCCAGAAACACAAAAATACTAAGACTGGGAAAATCTCTGGAGGTCTGCAGTCCAACATTCTACTTGGAGCTGGATTATTTTCAGCTGCACAGAGCCTTGTCTAGTTGTTTCACGTCTCCAGGAATGAACTATTTCATAGCTTCGTAACCTCTCTGGTTCCAGTGCTGCACTGTTCCCCTTATAGAGAATTTTCTTTATCTAGTCATAATTTATTTCTGAGGCTTTTGCATAGTGCTTCTTGTCCTTTCATTGTGATCCCCTGAGAAGAGTCTGCCTCTGGCTTTCCCTTCTTTGAGCTAAGCAAGACCAGTTCCCTCAGTTTCATCTGTCATACATGTTGCACCACAACCTCTTGATCATTTTATCAGCCTTCCTCCCTTCCCTCAGGATCTGAAACCTCCCCACCTCATGGTGCACCAAGGCTGCTATTGCCTATTGCATCCTCCATTAGTTCTTCCTTATGTGTAGCACAAATGTCTTGTTCTAGAGCAAATCACCTAGTATAAATTAGATTAGCTCCTCTGACTTACTGCTACTTAAATCAGCTGAGCATATAGACCATATCTTATATACGGCACGTCTTGCCTTACTCTTCCATTTCTGTAAAAGTTAGCCCAGACTCCTAGCTAAGTATGTGTTCAGATTTTAAAAACATGCAGCTGATAAACTGCCATAATGTAACAGTGAACAACATACTCATGGCCAAAGGGTTTAGGACTGGAGCATGCTAGCACTAGTATCATCAATAAGCAGAGTCTGATGTAAATCTACTGACGGTTGAAAATGACAAGATAGAAAACAGGCAGAAATATTTAATGTCTTAATTTTTTTTTTTTCTTCTGCCTACGAAGTAAAAGAACATGTCTATTCCATGCAGTTGGCATAGGAAATCTACCGTGTGTAGTAGAGAAAAGGTTTTAAAAGCATTTGTTAAATTTTTTCTCTCACATCAGCACACCTGGTGTCCAGTCCTACTCTACCACATCTAGTCTTTTCCCCTATCTCTACATCTGCTGTTTCATGTTAACCAGAATTTTTTTCCATGACAAAAAATGAGATCTCTTTCTTTTGAGGTTGGTTGAGGGTTCCCTCCTCCCCTTTTTACATTCTTACAATAAAGTTTATAAGCTTTTAAATCTGTTCTAAACGAAGATGCATTATTCATTTGGAAGCATGATAACAAAAGACATCTACTTCTTCAAAGATATTTCTAGATTTGAGTTCAGAAAGAGCTCTGAGAATTTACAAACTCTCGATTGACCCATGCCACTTTATCAAGAGGAAGATGTTTGCTTCCTAAAACTTGTTTGGCTGTCACTTACCTAGGTCAGATGTGTGTCCCCTTGCTCCCCTGCTCCGCAGCGTGCAGCAGGAGATGCTCTGCCATGCCTAAAGCCCGTGATCACGGGTGTAGGTACTGTGGTCTTCAGCAGGGTCCCAGGGAGCTTGGGAACTGGCAGCGGTCTTGCTACTGCAACACAGACCACAACAGGATTGTTCCTGAGCTCCCTTGGCGAGCATTGGGAAGTGAGATTTGAAGAGTGGGTGCTTCCAAGTGGAAGTTCTCACTCACTAATTCTGGGTATTATCACCTCACTGCCTAATGAATGCTTTGAATGGTCTGTCACAAGTTTTCAATGCAAGACAAATTGGCTGTGGGAACTGAATGATGATGCCCATTTTGTTTCATTATTAGCAGAAATATGCTCCATTTTTAAGTGGGGGGAAAGATTAGGGAAGGGGAATTGCTTATAAATAGACTTGTTAATTGCAGAGGGTTTTAAACCTGCACGATAGTGAGAAAGCGATAGAAAGACAAGATTGCTGTGGTTAGTGAGCTTTTCAGTGGTAGAACTGCTATAGTGCTGCTCTTTAATGCTGAGTAGCTACACCAGGGTGTGTTTGTCTTGTCTGGGGACAGTATCAGAGTAGCACTGTCCTTGACTCCAGTTGCTCACAGACCAATACCTACGCTGGTCTTCATTTGCCCTTTACATCTGACATCCTTCCATGAAATGACAAATATAGGCACTGGTTTTGGTAGGACTTCAGCACACGCTTTGATACTTTACTGAATATGGTGCTAAAAAGCATGAAAAGAGGCCGAAAGGTTTCTTGTCACCAAACTCGAGGTGCCTCACTTCTAGGCAGCTCACTGAGGGAAGTCATCCAGTCTTCCTTGGGAATTGAGTGAGAAAAAAGTGCATTCATGTGAAACTGGGACTCATGAATCCCTTTTTGGAGACAACCCTGAAAACTGCTCTGCTAAGTCACCTGTTAGATATCTTGAGTAAAGCGGCTTTCTCTTGCCTATGTTGTTTTCAGGTTTTACTTCTGAAAAGATATCCACGTCTGACCTTTAATCAAATCCACCAAGAGTTCAGGCTGAATGTAACTGGTTTCCTGTTAAATTTCATGCACCCTTTTGGCTCTGCTTTTTCTTTTAGAAATTGTGCAAATCCTGTGACTACACAGCCTGAACCACTGGCTTCAAGGAAAGAGTCAAGCTGCAGTTTCAGTTCTTTCTCCCTAGCCCCTAGTTCCTTTCTCTCCATGTTGGCTAGAAATGTTATTTTTTCTTTGGAAAAGAATCCAAACACACTTCTGTGTCCTCCCCTCTTCAGTAATTCACAGGCTGAACGTGAGGGAGGTTCTTGGGAAGTATATTGTGGTTGAGTTAAATCCATGTATTACCTGGCACATGCACGTCTAACCAGTCTCTTTGGGGCAGGGGGCTGATGTTGAGCTGGACTTGATTCCCTCCTGTCATACCAGGATTAACACTAGCCTGGCTTGAGGAGCTATAGCATTTTTGAATAGGCCATTTCAGCAAAAGCTGCTTTATCCTTCAGGGCTGATGTTAAATCAGCAGTGATTCATCTCTGTTGTGGTTTAAACCTGACTGGCAGCCAAACACCAGGAAGCCACTTGCTCACCCTCCCCTACCCTGGGAAACGGGGGGAGAATTAGAGGGATAAAGGTAAGGAGACTTGGAGGTTGGGATAAAAAACAATTTAATAATTGAAATAAAGTAAACATAATTATTATAATAATAATAGTAATAATAGAATATACAAATGAGTAATGCACAATACGATTGCTCACCACCTGCCAGTCGATGCCCAGCCCCTTCCTGGGTAGCGATCCCAGAGAAGTGAGAATCCTGAAACTGCAATTCCAGAAAAGCTAGCATCCCGATCAACCCTAATCTATAGACTGAGCATGCCACTGTATGATATGGAATATTCCACTGGCCACTTTGGGTCTGTTGCTCTGGCTATGTTCCCTGTCAGCTTCTTGTGTACTCGCGTGCTAGCAGGACATGGGAAGTTGAAGTGTCCTTGATTTCTTAGCAACAGCTAAAAACAGCGGTGCATTACCAGCAGTTTTCTCATACCAAATCCCATTCTATAGCCAAACCACAGCACTAACTACTGAGGAAAAAAATTAGCTCTATTCCAGCTGAAACCAGGACAATCTCCCGAGGAAGGAGAGGCAGGGAGATGGCACAGTGAGAAGGAGGGTTGTTTCTCCTACAGCCATTATGTGAAAACACTTTTGTGCTGTGCTTGCTCCAATGTGATGTGTCAGGCATAAAACTTCATAAATGATCTATACATTGAATCAGCTAGAGGATGATGTCCTTAACAGTCAGCTGGAAAACAGGCATGCTTCACTGCATGCTCTGTCACTCAGTCTTTCCTCTGCACTCTGCCCAATCACAGGTCTCCCCTGGGCTAATTTGAACACCCCAAAGCTCTTGAGAAGTTTCAAGCAGGCTTTTGCAAATAAGTGAGTGTGTTAAAAAGCCATGAGAAATGCTTCGTGAATGTGGAAGGGACAGTCAGACCTCATGACTTCAGAACCAGAAACAATATTCTTGTTTCAGGGCAGTTGTGCAGGAAGAGACCTTGAGTGAAGTATTTCCATTGTGTTTGTGCTCACGTTTTTGCCTGGCCCTGTGCCAGTCTTTCCATATCCTGAGCTCCCTGGGATAAGGTGTAGTTAGCACTTTATAAGCTGAAGCACAAGGGGTCGTACAACATCTGGATATTCTTGTCCTCTAAATCTCAGTGGAAGCAAAGTCATGCTAATACCTCAGTGCTCAGTCTGTCAATGCTGACAGTCCTCTCCTCTTTGAGCCCATTCTGTTAGAAATGTAGCAGAAGTACTTTAATGTATATGCTCATGGGAGAGGTCTTACAATGAGATACAGGATCTACTTGGAATCAAGCAGTAAAGTAATTAATTGGGAAGAAGTGGTTTCAATCCTTTAATCAATAAAATTGCAGTAGAATTGAGTACTGAAAGATCTTGTCCTCTTCCATCCTATCTAGTGCCTCTTCTGAGTGAAGAGCAGTGCTTAGGTCCTGGAGTGGTGCGCTATCTCTTACTGAGTTCCTTCATTCCCTTCTCAGCAGGGATCACAGGGGCAGACACACAGTCAAGTTAATTTGCATCCTTCTGGCTGTAGTCACTGTCTGTAGACTCTTTTAGCATATTACAAATGTAAGAAAGTGTGACTAGACTTAAATCTGTTTCAGAGTGAACTAAACTGAGTTGCGTTGTTGTGTTTGCCATGGGCAAAGATGTGCACATGTGCAGTTACCACAACTCTGCTGGGCCATGGAAAGCCATTGAGATGTGCTAGTTTGAGTGCACGCATGAGACCTCGGCATTGCAAAGGCAGTGATCAGACTGCTGGGTGTGTTAAGGCTTCTGGGAGGCAGCCATATTCAGTACTTTAAAAAATTTCCTTTCAGCTTTGGCTCCATGGCTGGAGACCTTTCCTGTAGCTGGAAGCACAATTTTTGATTCTAGTTCAGTATCTTTTGTTAAGAGTCAGGAGTGGAGTGGGCTGGCCCTGAGGCAAAAAGCAGCAGTGACCACACAGAGTGATGTCTCTATAACTTTTGCTTTTCTTTTCCTTCCGCAGCCCTTTTTAATCTAATTCCTGTGGGTCTTCGCGTGGTGGCAATCCAAGGAGTGAAGGCAGGTCTGTACGTTGCCATGAACGCTGAGGGATATCTCTACAGCTCAGTAAGTAGTTTGCACTGTTGGACTTTTGGAGTGGTATTTGGTTTTGTAGATGGGAGGGGAGAGGCTGCATTGGGACTTGCAGGTTTTTCTGAAAATGGTCACGTAACAGTAAACCTTTAAAAGTGGGAACAGGGGGGAGCTGCTGCAAGGCTATGCAATATTCACTTTAAAGTGTCTCTACGGAGATTTGTTGCAGTATTTCCTGACCTGTGAACATACACTTTGTGTTCCTTTGAGCAGTTACTTAATGTAGGTCACGTTGCAGATGAGGTTGTGTGGTTGGCTGGTTATATTGTAGTTTCACATTTGTGAAATGGCATGGACTGAATGGAATTCCTTCTGGATTGTGCCCAGGTAGCTGATCATAGGTGGTGCCCCAATGGGTCATACTCTGCCTTTGTATTGCAGTGTAAATCCACAGCAATATCCTGACTATGTTAAAATGCTTCTGGACTGTTCTGTTGGCAGAGTAGAATTTCCTTGTATTTGTGTGGTCTTTTTAATGCACGTAAAAGATAAGTGAGGCATTTTTTACTGACTAATTCCCCCATAACTTTCTTAGATGGCATGAAAGGGCATGAGGTTATTCATAAGATTCTCATTTGAAGAAAGTAATTGATTTTTGCAGTGAATAATTGATTCAGTGATTTATTAAATGTCAGCCCTTTGCCAGAATTTTTTATGCTTCAAATAACTTTGCTCTAGTTCTACATTGTAAAAAGTGATAGTTAATAATACACATCTCATTTCTGTAGTTATGATATCTTGAAAGTGTATCGCTAAGATTCTAATCTCATCTGTCTCTGTGTAAATTTACAGTGCAGGAATTCTGCTGTTGTCTAGCATTTACTTTGCTTTAAAAGCGTACGTGAGAATGGTGGTAGGACCACTGAAAGGATAACAGTTTGAGTTGCTCCTAAACAATTTTTCCTAACTCTTACCATCCATGTTCCTGATCAGTTTTAAACTGCTCACATGGTTGGGATTTCCTCCTTTCCCTCGGGAGGTAACAAAGCTCTATCTCCCTAGCGGCTCAGGATAGAAAACAGCAAATGGATGTGTTAGTATGCCTGGCGAGATAGGTCTCAAAACTGGCTGCTTGTCAAGAAGAGACAGAGAGATCAATCTGGATCTCTGTGGATGCCAGACGCTTCCTGTTCTTTCATAGCCCAGTAAACATAAATGACTGCTTCTAAATAAATGACATCAGTTTACTAACAATGAAAACTTCCTCTTTTTGTAAAGCTATCAGAGCCTTAAAGGTAATACCAAGCATGATGTGGTACTGCGTTATCGTGCGTCCTTCACTCTAGGCACATAGTCAGAGGGGTCAGGACTGACGTTTTGCCCCGTGTTTGTGCAGGGCTTGGCACAAAGGGTCCTGGCCCAGCATTGAGGCTCCTTGTACCACTGGTGCCTTGCAAATGAGGACTGCAAGAAAGCAGTGTATGTCACAGAGCCACATTCAGCCTGGGGGGGATCTTTTTGGAGCAATGAGGGGTCAGCATTTTCTGAACAAATAGTGCAAGGGAGGAAAAGGTGTGGGGCTCAGGCAAAAGATGAAATGGAGAGTTGAAAACATGATGTTTGATAGCTGAGAAATTAGAGATGATGCAGTGGAAATTTATCTCTTGTTAGCCGGGGTGAGACGATACAAAGAGATGGTGGGCAGCAGGAAGACCATGTGTCTGGGAAACACATCTACTAGTCATGTGAAGTGTCCTAAAAGGCACCAGATTGTACATGTTTTTAAATGAGGGTGATTTAATGGGACCTGCTTATTCCCAGCAAGTGTGTCTGTTTTAAGTAGGAAAGTTAATCAGGCAAGGCTAAGGATGCACTGTGATGGCCAGTGGTTAATGAAGTGGACCTCATTACAAGCCACAGATTGATGGCATTCAGCTTTGTCTGAACTAGTAAGAGTTAAACTGTTCATATCAACATGATTCAAGGTTTCTGCTTGCAGTAAATGAATGCTGCTAGCCCATCTCTACTCCAGAGAGACAGAACTTGCTGGACACTGTTTTCTTCTCATATTGACTGGTGGCTCTGTCTCTGTCTCGCAGCAGTAAATCAATGAATTCACTGTGCTTTGGAGCAGGTCCCATGGCAAGAAAAAAGAAAATTTGGGGATAAAGCCTGTTAGGAGCAGGAAGCATGGGTCAAACCACTCATAGCATCAAAGACAAGGGATGAGACCAGGGTCCTGTAAAAGGACTGAATAAGGCTGAGAAGAGCTCAGCCTGTTCAAGCAGTCTCTTTTGGATACTGCAGCTTTTCTTGTGGGGCTACATTCCCACTCCGAGCCAACATTTGGCATGGCTGTGTCAGTCTTGAAGACTGTGATGGGGAATTGCTTTAGCAGGACTTGACTGTGCCTCTCTGGGGTGAGCAAGTCTCCTGGCCGTGCTGCCTGGACCTGATTGCTGCCCACACCAAAGGACACATTGTCTCTGTTCCTTTGCTTAGCAGACCCTAAACTACAGCTTTCTCAGTTTCTCAGAACTGTCTCAGAACAGTTTCCTTTGGTGTCGTGCATGTACCTATTTTTTTCACTAGCCTTTTCTGAGAGACTTCTGAAAAAAATGGGTCAGTATTCCCCACAGATACTGTTTGGTCACAGGGTTCCACTGATAAAATAACTTTTTCTGCTTCTTGGCTGCCTCCCCTGCTGTCCGTCACAGGCCCAGCCGTGCTAGGACTCCTTATAACACCTTCAAGCCCAGCACTGCTTTCAGATAAAATGCAACTGTCCATGGAAATGTTTTGGTTTATTTTTCCTCCTCCTGAGCCCAGATTGTGGCTGTAACTGAACACATTATCACTGTGGGTTTGTTTTGTTTTTGTTTGGTGGGGTTTTTTTGATATTTAATCTCTGTGCGTCAGCTGAGACCTTGGCTGACATTCTCTGCCCTGGATCAGATCAGTGGCTATTATCAGCCTGGACTCTGAGATGGTTTGTGCCAACTCCTTCTGAGTTTGGGCCAATGGGCACTTGAATGAATGGGTTTAGAATAGCCAGCGCTTGGAAAAATTCTTCCTGCTGCCAGTCAGCACAGAAGCAGGGCTGAGTGGGGTCCTCTAAAGCCCAACTTCATGAGAAGGCTCTTTGCAGAAACTTGCAACACCCTCCTATGTGCTCGGCCACATTAATACCTTTAGCAATGAGTCTTCCTATCTCTTCTGTTCAGTTAGGGATGGTGGGCACAGTGTGGGATTGGGTTGCTGGGTTGAAGCCAACCATAGATCCCTTAATCAGCTTCAGAGGCCTGAATGCATTAGAAGACAAAACCTCTTTGCTTGGGAAGCAGCTGTTTGTGACTTTTGTGCACTGTTTACTTACACTAGATACCTGATTATTTTTTTATAGACTAGTTTATTGCTACCTCTGAGGTCTGCTGGGGAATTATGTGCTTAGTAGGCAAGACAGTCAGGTCTTGGTCTGAGGCACCTGGCTTTGCAGACAGTTGGACTCAAAACACTGTCTTCATAGCAAGTTTGCAGACTCATTGGTGTGTTCCCATTTGGTTCCTTACAATGCAGAGCAGCTGTAAATTCCCTGATGGTGCACGAAGGTCTTTATCAGCACCTGTTTTGGGAAGCAACATGACTCTTCTGATGATCCACTGTTAGTATTTTATGCCAAAGTAAGAATCTACAGAAGGAATGAAGGGCGGTGGGTATTACCTGTACTGTCTTAGTGCTTGGAAAGCTGAGACCAAAGGCTGGTGGTTGTTGTGGAGGAGGGGAAAACACAGAATAAAGAGGTACGTCCTGCTCCAGTGAGTTTACGGCCTAATCATAACGGGAGAAGACACAGAACACGCTCTCCTGTCTCTATCTGGAGTTAATAGTTCCACCACTGAATTAATTCCCACTCCCGCATAACCTTTCTCTGAAGTTTCTCTCCGGTGCCCAGCTTTCTCTCTATTGCCCCTGCTGCAACAACTCACAGGGACATGGGGAAGGGAGTGTCTGCACAATGTTTTGCCCAAGAGGCAAACCTGGTTTCCCTGGAGCAGATGCTCATCACGGGGCTGTTGAGCCTCCACAGCCCCACCAAATTGCTCTGAGTACACTGAAATTGCAGCTCTCAGTATGATGATATGTATAATTCAGTGGCATTACAGCTGGGATTGGTTTTGCCCCAAGTGGATAACACTTCTCTTCTAAAATGTACTACTCTCAGATATTCCTTGTTGTTTAACTCGGAGTTCGAATTATTTTTGAAATGGCAAATGTGATGCATAATTTATTGGAAAGACTGAGAAAACCCTAGCAGAGATACAGAATATAGAGGAAAAAAATGGGTCGCTTGTGAGAGCTCAGCATGGTTTTACAGTATAAACCTGTGAGTTTGAAATGCTGAAATTAGAGCTTGAACAACTTCAAAGATTTCTGCTAATAAGGGAATGATGATTCACAATAAAGAAAAATAATCTAAACAGCATTGAAAAAACCCATCACATTAAGAGCTCAGTGCGTCTTTGTGTTTTCTTTTTCTCTGCTTTTTTTTCTGCTCTATCATTTTGCATAATAAACTTGTCTTGCATAATAATAAACAAGCATCTGGGGAAGTATGTATATTAACTGTATTTTTTAATCTGCTTGCAATGCTGTAACTGTTTTGCTACAACTCCTCTAGGGTTGCTGCACTCTTATTTACGTCATTTCAAGGTCAGGGGCTGGAATCAATAATGCTGCATTCTCTCCCCTAATAGGCTTGGGGTGTTAAACCTGCTCCTGCCAATGCCATTTCTTTAATTCCTATTTGACCTTCACTGGTGATAGTTGATTCAGTCAGATAGGCCAGGAAGGTATCCTGGACATCTCCCTTTTGCAAAGTTTGCCAGTAAGTACACTTGCTGGGGAGATTCCCTAGTTTACATGCTTCATTAGGGAGCCAGGTCAGTGGAGAGAGAGAAATGTCTCCAGAGGCAAAGCACAGCAGGAGCCCAATGTAATGTGCTTTTAATTTCCCTCCAGAGTATCTCCTCTTCTTCACTGGCTGTTT